GCTTGCCCTTGAACGAGCCCCTGTCAAGTCAGTATTCACAAACAGCGGCGGTGTAAAGCCAAGTTCCTATCATTCTCAACAACTTCCTGAGATTGGCAAACAAGTCCATGCAGAACATGTTTGTTTACCACTAAGATGGTCTTCCCACTTTTGTATCAAGTCCAGAAAAACTCATCGGTTGAGTCTTCCTCGATTTTACCCCCCCGACTGGGTGAGCTCCGCGCCCAATGTGCCCACAAACCACATGTACCCAGGTCACATGGCCAAAAATTCGGAACCCAAAAAGGGAACCCAACAGTCCGCGTCACAACTTTGTTCCTGAATACCTTGCAAAAGATCAAACGTTGGGACACTTGTTTTTTTTTTAGAACAAAAAAACAACGGAAATCGTTGAGAATAATCTGACCGACTAGGGAACTCCAAAAAGTTATCCGGCTTTTGTACAGCTCAAAGTTGAGACCTGAACAAAGCATGACTCAACAAAGGCGGTCAAAGGCCGTCAAAGGCCGTCAAAGCTCCTGTGCCACAGCTTGCGGTGGAACGAGCCGGCCAAAGGCAAAGCAGCTGCCGTCAGAAGAAGCCACGCAATGCGGCGCATAAAACACGGCGTCTGCCTCACTTGTTGCCGCACTGGCAAACAAAAACAGCACTTGAAACAAGAAAGGAACACCAAGCTCAGCAAACAAGGAATCAGCTCGGTGATCCAAGAACCGAACCGTAAAATACAAAAGGAACCAATATTCAAACTTCGGAACAACATGGAACCACACTTTGAAGCAAAAGCAAACAGCCGGCAAACATTGGGAAACCAACTGCTTCAACAAGGAACCAAACTTCGAGATCAACAACATAGGAGACGCACTTTGAAAAACAGCGCAACCAAAGTTAGAAAAAGAGGGCCTGAGAAAAGAGGGCTGGAAAGAGGGCCAACAAGAGTGCACCATGCAAGAGGTGTCAGTCCCTTCGAAGGGACCCTTGGCATGAGTTGTACTCAAGCCGACATCATACCCTGAAGCGATCTAAGGTGCACCAAGCTGGATTTCAGTTTGGTGAAATATACGAGAACATATATATATATATATATATAATGTGTACACTTTTGCAGGTTTATTCCAAAGACTTCGCTGTATCTGGGGGCGGACACCTTTCAACCCCACAGATACGGCCATTGGGGTTGATCCACCAGTCCAGAAGTAATCAAGGCTCTGTTTAAACTTCGTATGCTTTGGTTTCTGTTTCAAACTCTATGGTTTCCGCCTCCAAACCTGTACCCCCAAGGCAACGCGCAGTGTGGCGTGGGAGTCGCCAATAACATACAACACATAGACCCCACAAGAGGCGGCAGTTTACTGTTTGATTCCTCCCTGGACGGTAAGTAGGAAAACAGTGCCAATTGCTGACTTTCATCAGCCCTAGAAAGATCAAAAGAAAGAAACACCTGGAAACCCAAGAATGTGGGTGTGTACCAAAAACCAGGGACAAATCATGTGGTTTCCCTTTCAACACCAATAATTCGCTATTTGCGACAAACCCCATACACCCCCCCGCCTCCCGGCGCTTCTCAGGAATTCTTCTTTTCAGAACATGAGCCAACACCAAGGAATGGTTGTGGTTCCTGACCAGAACGATGGGTGAAACATCCGGAAGTTAGATCAACCTTTAATATGCGATTAGCGCTGGAAAAACATGGACACAATTGGGAAAGCCGGAAGCAAACTAGTTTTTAGTGATCAAACGAAAACCAAAAAGGCCCTCCGGAGAAGGCCATATGTTCGATCAGGAGGGAAACCCGGGAAGACAAAGGAAAAACATGACACTTCCAAAAAAACACGCGGGATTGCAAGCCTACAGAAAAATATTGAAAACCAAAGAAAACCAAAAACAAAAATCCTACCGGACAACCGCCAGAGAAACAATGCCGACGACTTTTTTCTGAAGAAATGCCGGGCTGCCGGTGGCTCCTTTGGCGCCGGCACTGTCTTCGCCACTGCCTCAAGCCTGAGTCCGGGGGGGTTCTGTGGGGTCTTCCGTGAGTTTTCTGTGGGTTGCTGGTTGGTTTGTTGGCCTTTTTTTGGTTTACAAAAGGCGATCTTGACAGAAAGGCAGAAGTACCAGAAGAGTCTCATGATTGTCTGCATTTGTGTGGGTGTTCTGTGAGTCTTCTGTGAGTTTTCTGTGGGTTGCTGGTTGGTTTGTTGGCCCTTTTTTGGTTTACAAAAGGCGATCTCGACAGAAACAAAGGCAGAAGTACCAGAAGAGTCTCATGATTATCTGCATGCTTGCGGGTGTTCTGTGGGGTTTTCTGTGAGTGTTCTGTGGGTTGCTGTTTGGTTTGTTGGTCCTGGTGGTTTATAAAAGGCTATTTTGACTGGGCCGCCCTCAGATCCCCCGCTAAAAGTTTAACTTTTAGTGGGTTAAATTGAAACTACCACTAAACACTAAAAAGCCAAAAGGCTAAGGGGATGGCTGGAAGCCACCAAGTTGATAGAAACAGATGCAGAACTACCAGAAGGAAGCAACAAGGCTGGTTGGGACCCTGGGCTGGTTGGGACCCGTTTCACAGGTATTCCCCATTGTGCTTTGAAGAGGGGCCATGGCTGTTGGCTAAATCCTTCAACAGGAAACCCCCCAAGAAAGCTGGCGCTGCAAAACTGGCCAGGCTTACAAGTTGCCTCAAAACTCAGTAAATGGGCATGTGCGGCCTGTCTGTTTTTGAGGGCACCTCTCTTTTGTGGTTTCTCAAAGGAAACCAACAGGAACAACATCATTCGGATGAGTTTCCTTCCTTTTTTCTTTTTTCCTTGGGCCATTGGGAGGGGGGTCCGATCTTACAAAGATATCCCCATATCCCGGTTCATGGGAGAAAGTTTGGTCGAGAGGCGACTGGCGCCCCAGCCATCGAGCAATCAATCCACCGGGCTTCCCCGCGCGAAATGCGAATCCGGGGCCCTGGGCCCTCTCTTTGTTGGGCTTTCCCACCGTTTATGCCAAAACGGAACTTGGGTAAAGCCCGCTGGCTACAACAAGGAACATAATTCTTGATCTTGGTTGCTTGAACTGTTCTACAGGAGCCAGGAGCCCCCGCCTAAACGAGCAGAAGAAATATGGATTAACTCATAGAAAACATGTCCAACCTGATCCGACCCCTCTCAAAACTAACTTTCTGCTTGGCAAAAGGGGAAATGAAAGCAACCCGAAAGGCCTTTGAGGGCCCTTTTCCAAGTCAGCTAGGGACTGTTGCCAGGACCACACTGATGCCCTTTCTGCACATGCCAATTGGAATCACGGGATTTCCACTGCGAACGTGTAACACAGGCAGCCTGCGATTTCCGTGGACACAAACCTAGAGCCTTGCGCCGGGCGGCAGGACGTCGGCCAAGGGAAGCCATGCCTCCACTGCGCTTTGCTTCCACGCGTTGCCGGTGAGATCTTCTCTGGGCATCACGCCCAGCGCCCGCAGCCGCGCCAAGTTCGCGGCATCTGGGGCCTCCAAAACGCTTGACTTGGGAAACGGTTCTGCCAAAGTTCTATTTCTAGGTCCTCCGGTAGAGAGGTTAGAATAAGGATACCCTTTTTCTGTAGTCTATTTTAGTAGGGGAACCCTCCCCCAAAAAAGGGTAAAAGGGCACTTCCGGCGGAGCTAGAATTGCATGGGCCTTTCCTTAGACCCATGCCTTGCCACGGGAAAACAGAGCACCCGTGGTTTGGTCGGTGACTTCAAAAGCGAAACCTTCAAAGCGAAAGCCAGAATTGGAGCAGGGTCCCCAGCAGCCTCCCACGGCTGCTTCTCAACCCAAATGCTGTTCCAAAAGTTGACTTTGGGGGAGGAGAATCCGAACTTCGTACTCCACACGTCTGAATTCCCTCAAACAACTTGCCAACATTGCCCAAAAAGCCCTGGAAATAAAAGGGGAACCTTTTCGAACCCCGTCTGAAAACACGGGAACAGTATTTGAAACCGAAAAGTATTTGTCCAAATATGTAGCCCAGAAAAAAAAAAGCAAGTTAATCAACCGCTCGTCGTTTAGCAGACGCGTTAAAGGCCACCAGAAAAGACCCTATATCTCACACACTGAGGTTCGGATCGTTTGCCCTGAGGGAATCTGGGTGAAGGTCTCAAAGGCTGCTGTCTGCGCATATGAATCTTGAGCATCTAATTGTTCTCTACAAGGGTCTATGACCATTCCTGCCACCTTGATTTCAACAAGCAAGTCTGAACCTATCTCCGGTCAACGTGTCTAAACGGTCCACAGGTCCAGGCCTAGGGCTTGACAAAAAGCAGCAAGGTGGAGAGTAAGGACATTCAAAACCTACTCAAGGGGTCCACGGTTCTTCTGAAAACAAACATGTCATAGATGAATATGTAATATTTACCCACATTCACCCTCCAAATGTGTGACATGGTATGCTGGGTCCTCCAGTAGAGAGTACCCTTTGTTTTTTTTAGTAGGGGAACCCTCCCCAAAACCGGGTAAAAGGGCACTACTGGGGGACCTAGATTTGCTGGCTCCTAAACAGAAGTACACCAAGGGGTGGGTCATGTTCTTCTTTAGGGGACCCCTGGCTCTGTTCCGTAGCAAACACTAGATCCATGGAAATAGACGGATTTCCCTGATGAATGACTCGGCCCAAGGCAAACACGGAATGCATCTAGGTTCAATCACTCACCCTACTTTACTTACCAAGAGCTAGGATTTTTGTGGGAGATGTTATCCTGTGGACGATTCGCTGAACCTGTAGGTGGCCTATCCCATTACTTATTATAGGATTTCGTCCATCCCAAGTGGCCCTCATCCAGCAATGCCGAGCTTGTCACACAAACTACATGGTCCAGAGCGCATCACTCAATGGGGGACTCTCACAAATATTGCAGGCGAATGTGTCGGTTAGAATTGTGTCACTTCCAGGGTAACCCCTTGCTATCACGGAAAAGTCGCCGGCGGTAAAACCCAGCAATGATCCAAAACCAGAAGGGAAGACGTCGCCAAAAGCCCATGCGAAGCTTGCCCATGTAGGATGCTCCACCCTCCCACCATGGAAGCGATGGAAGTTGACCCAAACTCCTTGAGAAAAGTCGTCCAAGGCACGCAGCTCCATCTCAGGCTGGCTGGTTCGGAAAGCCCGGTTTGGTAAGGCTTGCGTGCAGGAGACACTTCCTGTAGGAACTGGCTTCCTGTAGGTTGTGGTCCGTCAACCCAAGTTAAGTTGGTCTTTAGCATCATTTTGGTCAAAAAGCTAGGTGCCAAACATAGTGGGCTACCTTCAACACCATCAACTTTCACTTGCTTAAGCCCTTTGGAGCAAAAAAACACCTAATTCCAGCGGTGATAAGTTTCCTTTAAAACCAACAGGAAAAAACAAAACATATCCAAATGGAAGTCCAACCCCCCCTCTCCTCAAGTGGAGAACCATGACCAACCCCTCCAGCTGATTGCTTCCATCAAGACCCGGCCTCCAGCATGGCATAGATCTCCCGGAGCGGCTGGAGTACTAGCTTGCAAAAGCCGCGCTCCGAAGCGTCGCCTGGCCGACGCTAGAAAACGTCGGAGCGTGGGGGTCCCTGGAGGTTTCTTCCTGTGGAAACTCAGTTGAGCAGAGCTTGTCTAGGTCCTCCAGTAGAGAGGTTAGAATACGGGTACCCTTTTTTCCGTAGTCTATTTTTGTGGGGGAACCCTCCCCCAAAAAAGAAACGGAAAAAGGGCACTTCTGGGGGACCTAGTTGTTGTAGCTTGTTTATGTATTCGTTTACCCTCCGACCAATTAACACGGAACCTGGTAGGGGGGTCCATGGTGTGGATTCTTCGAGCTTCTTTTGGGGTTCCGGTTGGCTTTCTTTGTGGTTCCCCGTTCAAAATGTCTAAGACATGTTCTTGGGTGTTGAACCCGGCATGACCATCTGCAGAGCCGGAAATTTGGGGGGATGGGTGCGGGGATGCGCTATGTTTGTTCAATCGTTGGTCTTTTAAAGCACCAGGCGGTTCTTTGCGTTTGTTTTGGCGGTTTGGCGGTTTCTACAAATGATTACTACTGACAACAACGCCAACATGATACCGAACATTTCAGTGGGTGTCCATCCTTGATGTTTTTTTAGTACAAAGGAAGCCACACCCTGCCTGAGACAAGCGAACAACTTGGCCCCTTTGGCCTTTGAGCTGGCTGTTTCTGCTGAACGAATGTTATGTGGAGACAACTCTTCTGTTTGCTTGCTGTACCTGAACTCTTTCCCCCGACCCGAGAATGATGTCTGGTTCGGGTCCTCATTCAGCAAGCCTACAAAAGCAACCACAAGTCCTGCGAGACCCCATGGAAATGCCATCACACAAACGCCTCACTAACAGTAATCGACCCACGCCACGTTGTCTTGGGGCGGGGGAGCTCTTGTTGTGCTTGCCTTGATCAATCCATGGACGGCTCCACCGGAACAAAGCCCTCTTTTGCCTGACAGTGCCCACAGTTGTGTCGATATTTCCTCACTTTCCACACTGGCCTTCAACGTAGCATTCTGTATCTGCAGGAATGCCGGGCACCACGAAACTATCTTGCGAGCTGCTTACAGGCGAATTCGTCCCTTGATGGGTGGGGTGGGGGTGGGGGAAACAACTTATCGTAACCAAGCAAGATCCAAAGCTCATCTACAGCATGCCAGCTGTGCAGGCCAAGGGCTCAATGATGACATTCCCTTTTGCGTGGCATACTCTTTTCGAGCAAGGCTGTTAAATGGCAGGGCGCACAAAAGAATGCAGTGGCCACACACCTCTGACACTGCGATAGTAGTTGCAAGTCATTGGAGTCAAACATGAGAGGCATGAGCACTGAACTGGCCCCTAGGGGGCTTTCTTGGCCGAACCCTGGGGCAGAAAAACAATTCATAATATGGTCAGACTATCTTGCATCTGCAGCCATTGACATGTAAGCCAGTGCTTCCAGCTACCACCATAGGTACCCAGGTATGGCCAGTAGGTTTTACATTGGGGTTTCTCCTGATTACCCACCACAATGGTAATTGGAAGCGCTGGGTAACATACTCAATTCCTATTGGCAAAATAAAGTCCACACTTGTAGTTTGCCACTAAAATGGTCCAAACCAAAGAAAACGACTCAAGTCAATGAGTCAAGGAACTCAGGGAAATCACAAGGACGACAACTAGGTCCTCCAGTCGAGAAACTAGAATAAGGGTACCGTTTCCTGTGTAATCTATTTTAGTAGGGGAACCCTCCCCCGAAAAAAAGAGGAACGAAAAACAAAAGTAAAAGGGCACTACTGGGGGACCTAGACCACTTTTTTGAGGGGTCTCCTAAGAAAAGGACACACCCAATAAAATTCGCTGGAACGGATTTCTTTGGACTCGCGTCCTAGCCGCCTGGGTCTCGGCGAGATCCCCAGCTCTTGCCGTTGAAGAAATGGTCCCCCCATAGGCGCGGCAGCAGGCGACCCACCTGAAACATGAGCCCCAGACTTGTTGGGAAGGAAATGGGCGCCCGTGTTCGGAAGTTGACTGGTTTGAGGAAAACACATGAAACCACCCTCTCAACAAAAAGGGGTTTAAAAAAAAACCGGGCCAACATCGTTGTTTGCTTGTTGAACTTTAAAACAGGGAAGTATGAGTGGAGTGAGTTGCGCCCCCTGTTGGTAATTGAGGACCATGTGCCATGGTCAATCTTCTCATGTGGGGCATAGATGCCACGGTCATGGTTCCCAGAACTAACGGATCGTGACCATTCCCAGCCACCCCGACAAAGCATGCCTTTGGACATTTGTAACAGGACATCATGCTGGGCCACCGCATTCTTGCCAACGTTGCACCTTCTGGAATCACCCTTCGGAGGGCGGCTTCGCCCGTATGGTGGACCCTTGGAGTCTGTTTTGCCACCGCCTTCAGGGCATTGAATCTTTAGGGTGCGCCTTCAGTGTGCCATCGTATCCTCCCCCCCCCCGTCCCCACCCCCCCCCGTGCAGGGTGCCTGCTCCTCGCTCCACGCTTTGCGTGTCCCCAGTTCTTTCAGGAGGCCCTCCAAGCGGAAGCCCCAGCCGCCGATGGACTCCGCGACGCTCAGCGAGCCTGTGCTCCGGCGGTTTTCTTTTGCTTCGGACTGAACCCCTACTTTCAGTTTGCTTCTAATTGGTGGCTTGGTTTGGTGGTTTGGAGGTTTGGAGGTTTGGAGGTTTGGTGGTTTGGAGGTTTGGTGGTTTGGGGGGATTTCCCATTTACCCTCTACAAAAGCCAGGGGCTCAAGTCCCCAAATTGGCAAACCACCAATCCAAACCACCAACTATGCTACGTACAATACCCACCGATTGTAGGGCTTATGGTGACATGGTGCTTTGCATGGTCAGGCACTTTCACAATGCCGCAAGTGGGTTCTTGTCCCATGACTTGCTCCAAGTCCAAACGTGTCACAAACTCGATGTAGCGAAAACATGTGCTTCTTTGTGTCGAACCGGGCAAATCATGTAGAACAACACCAGAACTCCTGTGTTTGAACACACTGGTATTCTTGCTGTGATATGAGATGTTCAAATCCAGACAGGTTGAACACCTGATGCAGAACACCCAGGTCGACTTCTTGCGCTAGAGCTTTTTGAGGAAGTCGCAATTCACCAACAGCGGGACCTCAACTAGTCAGACCGCGTGCTCATGTCTGGCCACAACCAACTTCAGGTGTTTGCGTCAGCCCAAAGCACCGCCGTTGCCCCAACTCCTTCCGCCTCTTCCGAAGACGATCCTTTGGACATCCAGCCTGTCGAGCTGGCTCCATGCAGTGGGCTGAATAAGACACGTTGACCCCTGAGCAAATCAGACCACAAAGGGAAACTCCAAAGGTTCGCTGGCATATTGGTTTATTGGCTCACTGTGCATGAACAAATTTTGTCCCAAAACTGGACAAACTGGATGCCTCCAAGGACCATATGGCAAAAAGCTGCATGTGGAGTCGCTTGGCAGACTGACAAACCTCTGGGTTGCAGCTGGCACATGCTGCATGGTGCTCACGTGTCGAATGGGTGAAATGAGAAAGAAACCTGTTCCTGTGTCCAAAAATCACAAGTACTGTCCAACAAGCAGTGGTTGGGGGTGCTGGCACTCATCCCTTTGTGTTTTCCGGGATTGAAAAAAAACATCTCGATGCTATCAATCGCCGGCAGGGGAGACTAAGGACTCCCGCTCGACCCACCCGTAAATGGGTGGCTGACAAAGTGCAGACTCAATCATTTCCAGAATGAGTGTTCGTTTCTGAGGGCTGAAGACACACCTGTTAACTGTGCTGCTGGCCATCAAACGTGAAAATGGCCCAGTCCGACCCGCTGCAAAAGAACAAGCGAGAAGGCGAACAACAAGTGTCTGCTGTGTTTAGCATCGAAACAAAACATGTGCTTCCAAAAGGTCTATGGGGCTAAGGTCGCAGGGTGTGGGGGGTCCCCCCATTCCAGGTAAAAGGGAAACTCCTCCCCCAATTCCATCTTCTAGGGGGTGGGAATAAATATGTTTCTTTTGATACCCCGAGTCGAACTTCTTGAGCCAAGCAGCGGCGGTCGAGAGAAGTCCTGCAAAATGCTGTTGAGCCGATCGACGATGGCCCAGACCCGCTGGTAGCACTGCTCGTTGTCCGGCTCCAGCGACAGCAGCTGGAGCCAAAAAAAAGGCAACGAGGCGGCTTTGGTTTCTTGGAACATTTGTGCTGCGCGTCAAAGGGCCCTCGTTGGGAGATGTTGAAAGGGGCGCGACTTCGTGACCATTGAAATCAAACAGAGACAAAACTAAAACATGGGATCCGGGGCGCAAACATCGCGGAATGGACATGGGAAGGCTAGGCCCCCTCCGCCCAACACTTTCCGGGAACTGCGGTACGTGTCCTCTGTCCACCCAAAATTGCCCACGGACTGAAGGATGCGTTGACGGACAGCCCGGCGTCCCCAAGGCAGGAAGAACCTTCCGAGAAACTTGGTTGTTTCGCGAAGGGTAGCTGCTCGCGTTACGTCTTGGTCAACTTTTCCAGCGGCTTTGGCCCGGGTTCGAAGTAAGAAGCAACAAGAAGGCATGGTTTGCTTCGCGCGGAACTTAGCTAAGTTGAATGTTGAATTACAAAACCAAAGTGGCTGGAAGTTCAAGGATCAGAACCAGGCATCCTTAACCTTAGGGCACAAAGGAGAAAGATAAGGACAAGGAGAAGGAGAAGGAGCAAGAGAAGGAGACAGAGACAGGGACAAAGAAAGACAGAGAAAGAAAATTAAGGAAGAGAAAGAGAAGGATAAAGGCAACAACAACACGGACAGAAAGAGGGAACAAAGTACAGGGCAAGAAGCGTGCTCCCAACTTTGGGCCCTTTGAAACTTTTCCGCCCCTCAGCTCCGTCGGCCTTTGCTTGTACTTGAAAGCGCGGAAAAAAAAGGGCAACCCCCTTCTCGACCACCGGCAAATTGTCTGGGACCAGACAGTTTTTAAGTCAAACTCAGGTGCCGATACTGACGCGCGTCGGCCCAGGCCGTGCTTTTCTGTGGCTTGGGACCAAAACAAATCCAAAAACAAACACGCGCACACACACACAGCTCCCCGCGGACTCTACTGCAAACTCCTAAAGCGCCACGGCTCGCCTTGTCCAGCTTGTTGAGGAAAAGCACCGGCGCCAGCCCGGCCTCCGCCGCCTTCCCAAAGACTCCGCAGAAGTCCTGCGACCGATGGCGGAGAAGCTGTCGAGGGGAAGCGATCGGGGAGGTCAGGTAAGGTGAACCCCGGAGTCATAAACCCCTGGTGAATGAATAGGTGGGTGTCCCCTTTTGTGGGGAGTAACATCATTTAAATTTTACTGTGGATGGTTGCGAAATCCATGCCGCACCAGCTAAGAAAGCCAGGTTTCTGATGATTCCCCAACGTAAATACCAACAAACGGTGGCTTCAACCATGGATTCGAAATGGTGCAGGATGTCGTCCGTCCTCAGAAGGGGTGTCCCCTGTTAGTGGGTAGTAACATCAATTGATTCATACTGTGGATGGTTGCGAAATCCATGCCGCACCACCTGAGAAAGCCTGGTTTCTGATGATTCCCCAACGTAAATACCAACGAAGGGTGTTTTCAACCATGGTTTCAAAGTGGTGCAGGATGTCGTCCGCCCGCAGTAGGGGTGTCCCCTGTTAGTGGGGAGTAACATCAGTGGATGGTTGCGAAATCCATTTCGCACCATCTGAGAAAGCCTGGTTTCTGATGATTCCCCAGCGTAAATACCAACAAACGGTGGTTTCAACCATGGTTTCAAGGTGGTGCAGGATGTCGTCCATCCACAGTAGGAGTGTCCCCTGTTAGTGGGGAGTAACATCACTTTTGGAGGATTCATGCTCTGGATGGTTGCGAAATCCATTTCGCACCACCTGAGAAAGCCTGGTTTCTGATGATTCCTCAACGTAAATACCAACAAACGGTGGTGTCAACCAGGGTTTCAAAGCGGTGCAGGATGTCGTCCGTCCACAGTAGGGGTGCCCCCTTTTAGTGGGGAGTAACATCACTTTTGGAGGGAACACCCCCCTAACAATGGGACGGGTTTGTTAATTCTGGGCAACATTAAGTGGTTAGTAAGCCTGGATATAACCCACTGAACGGACTCATAGCCATGGCTTTTGCGGGTTGTAACCAGGCTGACGACCCACTCTTTTACTAAGTACCCCGCCCCTTTAGGTAGACCTCCAGTGACTTTCATGGGGCGAACGGAACTCAGCTTTGCATCCTTGTGTCGGTCCGATGAATCAAACCAAACACAATGAAGGTTCTCCAAATGTAGTCTCTCCCCGCAAAATGAACAAGGGCACCTAGCCACGTAATACAGTAAAACAGTTTTCGTTCTGACAGTTCCGGACGCGGCAATAACAAAGATCACCTAACAGCGTCACCGTCCGCCTGCCCCGACAGAAAGTAGTGCCCCTCTCTCTCATTCTTGTCCAGTGCTTCTTCGTACTAAGAAAGCCGTGCAATTTCTGCAAACCATCCCCATCCCCCAAACTGCCAATTTCCATACGTATCATTTATGTAACGGTGCTCAGCCGACAAACTTCCGAGGGGAGAAGTGCATGGCCACCCCAAAGCCCAATAATCGGACCCAATAGTGTCACCGTCGCCAGCAAGTAGATCCACAAAAAAAATACTACACAAAGAATACTCAAAGAGTTCAAAAACCAGTACTAGGCAGAGAGGACCGAAGAGGACCGAAGAGGACCGAAAAGGACCGAAGAGGACCCAAGAGGACCGAGGAGGGCCGAAGACAAACGAAGCACTACTAAGCCAATACTAAACTGAATACAAACCAATACTAAGCCAGTACTAGAGCAACACAAAGCAACACCAGCGCCAAACCAATACTAACCAATACTAGCCAGTACTAAACTTGGGATAGGCCAATCTGACCCCCAACTTTAGTTTTACCGGATTTCGGTTGGGCATTCACTTTTTCTTACTAGCTTGTTTCAACCCACATCCTGCATGGCGCTCTGGGTACAACCTCTCCAAGCACCTTGCTTAGTTTGTTATGTTTCAAGGAACAGGTCTGGGTTTACCCTCCCCGCGTCGCCATGAAATCTGATTGGAGGTCTTGTCAAGGCCCCTCACTAGGGACCTTCATCACAGCCCGGAATCGCCCGTTTTCGAAGGTGAGCTTACTATGCAGGGCATTGTTCGCCAAGCATGAAGTGCGTCTTAGCCTCTTGGAAGACTTGGAACCCTCTACCCGGCCGGATACTAAATTACCGGGACCCAAAAAGGAACATGGGGTACATGACCTCTGGCGGTACAGCCCCCGAAGCCGCCACCCCCTTTGCGTAGGGTTGCCCGGCCTCAAAGACAGACCTAGGGGTCAAGGATCTAAACAAGCCTTTCGATGGGTGAAGAGCTACTCTGAAATCTGCAAGTTGAACATTTTCGAGAGGTCCCTCGATATTGGATGAGCTCCGATGTTTGGGACTCCGCTGAAAAAGAAGCCTTGGGTGCCAGAACGGTTGAAGCCTCTTTTCAACCTCCCGTTGACACAATGTGTGTGTGTGTGTGTCTGCGTGTTCAAGGCGCCTTTTGACCTAAGGAACCAAACGAGGCAGCCCAAGAGGGACACCAAAGGAAACCCAGCAACCCAAAAGAAAGCCAACCAAGCCGAACAAAAAACGTCCGGCTACGGCAAACCCAAAGGACACGCCAAAAAAGGAAGCGGGTCCTCGTTCAGACCCTCCGCGCAGTCCACCACCACTAAGGTGCCCTCACAGAGTGGCAGGCAGTCCTTGATCTGCTGGAAGTTTGCGAAGTGCGGGGCCACGAGGTTCACCAAAACCGGAAGGTCCTGTCACTGGATCCGAAGGAAAGCTGACATGGCAGAATTCTACGGGTACCTTCCCCATTCTTTCCAGGGATCCTTCTTTCTAGAAAACCTTAAGAAACCCAGTGAAAACGACCGGCTTTTTAAAGAACGATGGTTGAAAAGAATGGGATTGGTGGCTTGGACAAGAGGTTAGCTGACTTTTTTTATTGGTTTAAAGTGGTTTTAAGAGGACCCCGGCCGGAAAAGGCTCCAAGTCTCGTTTTTTGACACATGCCAGAGTACCTCCAATCCACACCAATTGGAGCCAAGCTGATAGGTCGGTATAAAGGGCAAGCCGCTCGCAAATCGTAGTGGCGTCGCATGTCCCTTTTTGGAGCCTCCAAAAGTGAACAGAGGTTTTCAAACCTTTTGGGGAAATCCAGTGACACTCTGAAGATTTTTGTTGAACACGGCGATTCTTCTAGGGGTTGATTCCAATTCAAATCGCCAACTGAGGGTTACATGAGCAACAGCAACTGCAGCAACAGCAAACAGCAGCCATCACCGCAAGAAGAATAAACACAAGCAGGAGAGATGAGAATGAGAAAAGAAGAAGCAAAACAAACTAGACACAACTAAGAAAAAAACAAAACAAGCTTCTTCCATTTGCATGCTAAGCAAAATGAAAGGGGCAATCAGGGATCCTTACATTATACACCTGAACATTGCCTTGTAAATGGTGGTTTCCCTTGATTTAGGTGGAAAACGCAACATGTTTCAAATGGTTGCAACATGCATCTTTTGAGGAGCTCTGGGCAAAGTGGGGGGGGGTGTTTGGAGCTCAAACCTCGAAGCCCGCGCTCCCAATTCCGCCTGCGGCGCTTCGTAGCGCAGCGGCAGGGAGATCCAGGGGCTTTGGTGGCGCTGGGTGGTGGAAGGGAGGAGCTTCTTGGCACCGACCAACTTCTCTTCGCTGCGCCAGAGGCGGTGCCGGGTGAGGTAGCCCAGAAGGCTGTCCTCTTGGTTGCTGGCGAGACCCCTGTGTAAAAAGTTTAACTTTTTGGGGTTTAGTGGAAAACCCAACTTGATTTCCAATAAAGTTAAAGTCTAAAGATCCAACCCAATAGCAGTCAAGTGCTGAAGGAGAAGTCTGAACATATGGCTGCGGGTCAATATTAAACCACCAGGGGACCGCAGATTTTAGTCCATGTTTCCATTTACCAAAGTTCCATTTTGGGTACCTGTTTTTGACCCACAGCCATATGGCTGTAGTGGTCAAAACCTTTTTTGGATCCTTTGCGGTAGGTGAATTCACTACCCATTTTAGAACCTATTTGAGTGGGGATTGGGATGTTCATTGGGGGGACGAAATCCATGTCGCACCACTTTGAAGCCATGATTAAAAGAATCATCAGAAACCGGGCTTTTTTTAGGTGGTGCAGGTTTTCGTCCATCCACAGTAATTATCATCTCTGCACCTCATAATTGGTCAAGAAACGGGTTCATAATGTTCGGCATCCCCCCCAATTTGACACATGACCTACATAGTTGATAGTCCCCTCCAAAACCTGGTGGTGCGTAGGGAATGTGGGAGTGAACCCAGGGGTTCCCTTGAAGGAAACCACAAAGAAAAGTTTATAGGGATCATTCCCTCATTCCCTACCTATTGCACCGGCAAGAAGCAACTGCCATTTGCTTAAGTCCCCTGAAAAAACAAAAATATATTCAGTAGTGATAGATTCCCTTTAAACCCAACAGGGGAAAATAAAAACCTCTCCATTTCAGCAACTGGAAGAAAAAGACCAGACCCACTTTCCGCGTTGAAAACCGCTGTTCCTGGCCATGATCCGTGGGCGCCAGCACCAGCACATGGCGCTGCCTCCCCCGGTGCGAGAGCACCGGAAGGAGGTCCAGTGGGTCTTCCCGCGGCCTCTCGGATCGATCGAGCCGGGGTGTCAAAATACAGTGACGAAAGTTTGCCTTATGGGTGAATTTCTATGGATACTGGGATAAACCGCCAGGATCTTGTCCAGCGTCCCGAAATTGCTGGGTGTCCCTTTGGCTTCCTCTCAACACCTGAAAAAGGCTCCCTCGAAAAGCACCCCCCCCCCCAAAAAAAAAGGAAGAATAAGAAAACAGAAAGCGCCCCAACAAGGAAACCCGGTGATTGTATTGGCAACCAGGGAACCACCCTATTTTTAGACCAGCTGGAAAATGGCAGGTCAACTATCCTGGCAACCGGGATCCACTGGGCAACACAAAGAAAACCCAAACAACAACAACTCGATCAAGGTCTCCACAAAAGGAGCACCAAACCAGCCACCAAACACAAAAACCGAAGACATCCACCAGAGGAGGATCCCGAGGAAGCTCTCAAAAACGAAACAAGTAACGCCCCCCGAAGCAGGAAGAGTTCCCAACAGCAACGCAGCAAAGAAACTCAAGGATCAGCACGAAAGACATGAGTCAAACAGACGGCACTTGGCAAAATCATGCGGGACGAACATCAAAGGCATTTTGGAGACACAAGATGGCACCAAAAAGCGACACACACACACACACAAGGGAAACCAAACCAAAGAAACCCCAAATGAAGCACTAAACCAAAATACCAAGTGTTGTCATCCCATCCCCTTGAAAGGGACCACAAACTTTCAGAGTTGTTACTTACTCCCCCAATGAGTTACGGAACTGCCAAAACGTATCGATTCCAGATGGAGATTCCAAACGCATGCCGTTTGGGTTCTGTGTGTGTCTCGAATTGGTACTGGATTTGCCTTGAACAGCCAGGGCGCTAATTAAATGCACACCAATACTTTTCTTGTGACCCCGAACTAACCAACCCGAATTATTCCCCCTCTCCCCGAAAATAAGCCCTGGTGGTATCCCAACTGAAACCCTCCAAAACTGTCCCTGAAAGCTGCCCCAAACCGCCCCAGAGCCTATCTGGGCCTTGACGCCAACTCAAGCAACAAAACAGCTGCGGGCGTGTCCCTTTTTCAAGAACCTTCGTTTGGCGGGCTTTCAAAGTGAAGCCAAAATCTAGGCTGTCCTCAAAACTTATTTTTTTAGTGGGCCAAATGGAAACCCCACTAAACCAACTAACATTCTAAAAACTTAGGGAACCGGACTGGGAACAACCAAGAAATACGAACCACATTTCTTTTGAGGAGACAAGCCCACGCATGGCGATCCATCTGTCGCAGGCTCGCTTGCACGCGCCTGGGGCTGCGTGCATACCTGGCGATGCCGTGGCGGTTGGTAGGGCAGAACTCCACCTGCGAGCGAGCGGAAAGAAGCGATGCGTATGACCTCCATTTGCTTAAGACCCCTGGAAGAAATAGAGCTATGTCCAATAGTGATAGATTCCCTTTTAAAACCACGAGGCGAAAATATAAAACATTCTGAAGCAAATGGAAGGTGTGAGAGGATGTTGTTGATGCCGGCTGTTCCCAAAAAGGGGAATCAAGCAACCAAGCTCATTCCCACGCTAAAGGGGGGCATTCTCCACTACCTCAAACATGCCACCACTTTGACACGAGTAGTATAAATGTTCACCCTCCCAAGCTCCAAAGTTTACTTATATGTAAACTACCATTGTATATGTTAAACACCTTTGACCCATCTCAACACAAAACACATAATAAATAATAAACAAGAAGCAAGAAAAAACAAAATAATAGCAATAATACTAACAATGATGATAATAATACGTATAATAATAACAGTTTTAACAATGCTAATAATGATAATAATTAAAACAAACTAATAATAGCAAGAGTAAGAGCAATAGTAACAATGATAATAAAGAGAATAATAATCATAAACATACTAATAACAAAAATATTAATGGTAATAATAATAATAATAGCAATAACAATAAAATAATAATAACAATTTAATGATAAACACACAAAAGTAATTATAATAACAAATATGATAATACAGAGGGACAGGCTGTGGGCACTACTGTGTTTTACATATGAAACCCTTCTGAAATAATAATAATGATACAATTATGTTAACTCATGACACAGTAAAAATAATAATAGCAATGATACGAACAGAGAGGGGTACGCTGCGGGCCCTACTGTGTTTTACATGTGAAACCCTTCAGGATTAGTAATAGTAATACAGCTATGTTAATTCATAAAACAGTAATAATAATCAAAGGAAGTTTAACAAGAAACTTCCGTAGTACTGGAACTAAATGAGCTAGCTGCTTCTGACAGATATCTTGACGCATAGATAGCTTTCGAAAATATGGCTTTGACAGATAGATAGCTTTGACATATAGATAGATAGGTAGCTTTGACAGATAGATAGCTTTGACACAAATAGCTAGCTCGACAGAGATAGCTTTAAGATGCGTGGATGTGCGCGAAAAAAGCTATGATAAATGCTGAAATCAGGAGAGCCGGGTGATGGCCAGATGCAGAAAAACGTTGGCACTGTGCGTGAATTGGGCTTCCGGACAGTGCGCGAACCACCTCGGTCGCGACGCCTGTACGGAGGCGGTCTCGGAACGGTCCCGGAACGGTCCCGGAACGGTCTCGGAACGGTCTCGGAACGGGTTCGGAGATGTGACCATTGGCACGGCCGCGCGCAAGTTTCGCAAGGATTGAATTGCGTGGCAGGCGCAGCACTTTCGCAAGGTCAAGTACAGATTTCGTGGCAGACGCATCCCTTTCCCAAGGTCAAGTGCAAAATCCGTAGCAGGCGCAGCACTTTCGCAAAGTCAAGTATAGATTTCGTGGCAGGCACAGCACTTTCGCAAAGTCAAGTGCAAAATCCGTGGCAGGCGTGCACTGTCGCAAGGTCAAGTACAGATTTCGTGGCAGGCGCAGCACTTTCGCGAGGTCAAGTATATATTTCGTGGCAGGTGCAGCACTTTCGCAAGGTCAAGTGTAGATTTTGTGGCAGGCGCAGCACTTTCGCAAGGTCAAGTATAGATTTCGTGGCAGGCGCAGCACTTTCGCAAGGTCAAGTGCAAAATCCGTGGCAGGCGCAGCACTTTCGCAAGGTCAAGTATAGATTTCGTGGCAGGCGCGCCACTTTCGCAAAGTCAAGTATAGATTTCGTGGCAGGCACAGCACTTTCGCAAGGTCAACTTTCGCAGTCGGGGCTCGAAAATCGCAACTTTTAAATACGAAAGTAGTACGCGAAGTCAACTTTCGCAGCTCGGGCTCCAAAATCGCAACTTAAGTACGAAAGTAGTACGTGAAGTCCACTTTCGCAGCTGGGGCTTGAAAATCGCAACTTTTAAGTACGAAAGTAGTACGCGAAGTCCACCTTCGCAGCAAAGTTTAAAAATCGCAACTTTCAAGTACGAAAGTAGTACGCGAAGACCACTTTCGAAAATCGCAAATTTTAAGTACAAAAGTAGTACGCGAAGTCAACTTTCGCAGCTGGGTCTTTAAAATCGCAACTTTTAAGTACGGAAGTAGTACGTGAAGTCCACTTCCGCAGATGGGGCTCGAAAATCGCAACTCTTAAGTACGAAAGTAGTACGTGAAGTCCACTTTCGCAGCTGGGGCTCGAAAATCGCAACTTTTAAGTACGAAAGTAGTACGCGATGTCAATTTCCGGGGCTTGAAAATCGCAACTTTTAAGTGCAGATATAGATGGATAGATAGATCAGATCGATAGACAGATAGAGAGATAGCTAGAGAGATAGATAGAAAGACAGATGGAGAGAGAGAGAGGTAGATGGATAGCTACAAAAAAAAAGATAGATAGATAGATAGATAGATAGAGAGAGAAAGAGATCGAGATAGATAGATAGATAGATAGACGGAGAGAGAGATAAAGAGATAGAGAGACAGATAGAGAGATAGATAAGTAGAAAGAAAGAAAGCTACAGAGATAGAGAAAGAGATAGATAGATGGATAGATAGAGAGAGAGAGAGATAAACAGACAGATAAATAGATAGACAGATAGATAGATAGATAGAGAGATAGATAGATAAGTAGATGGATAGAGAAATAAATGGATAGATAGATAGATAGATAAAAACAGAGAGATAGAGAAATAGGTAGAGAGATGCATAGATAGAGATAGATAGATAGAGAGATGGATAAATACACGAGAGATAAAGAAATAGATATAGATAGAGAGATAAATAGATAGATAGATAGAGAGATAGATAGATAGATAGATAGATAGATAGATAGATAAGTAGATGGATAGAGAAAGAAATAGATAGATAGATAGATAGATAGATAAATAAAAAGAGAGGTAGATAGATAGATAGATGGATAGACAGATAGAAAGAGATAGATGGATAGATAGAGAGATAGAGAGATAGGTAGATATATAGATAGAGAGATAGAGAGACAGATAGATAGAGAAGATAGATAGAGAGTTAGATAAATAGATAAGCAGATAGATAGATAACACGAGAGATAGATAGATAGGTAGTTAGGTAGATAGATAGTTAGAGAAAAAATAGGTAGATAGATAGACAGATAGATCGACAGAGAAGAGACAAAAGAAAGAACAGCACAAAAACAAGCAAACGAAAGAAACAAAGGAAAGACAGATAGAAAGAAGGAAAGAAGGGAGGAAGGAAGGAACGAAAGGAAGAAAGGAAGAATGACGGAGAAAAAAGAAACAATGAAAAGGAAGAAGAAGAGAAAAAGAGTCAAAAAAAGAAATAGAAAGAGAACCATAGAATTATATATTTGGGAAACTTCCGCACCCCGGCTCTGCCGGACCTTACTTGTATTATTAATCATGTGCCAACATTATCGCATTTGCACACCTGAGGTGTCCTCGGCTAGGGCCTAGCTCCCCTCCGCAATTGCGAGCGCTCGCATTTCCACTCACCTCCCAAAAGTTCACTCAATCGCCTCGCCGATCGCCGATGGGGATTGTGAATCAGGGTTGTGGCTGAGCAGCCTGTGGCAGTCGAGCAACATCTGGATGACAACTTTCACCCTAAGGCTCCGGTAAGACAAAAAATTAACTTTAAGACTTAATCACAAAAAAAGTCTTAAAGTTAAAAAGTCAAGTTAAAAAGTTAAAATTTTTCAAGTTAAAAAAAAAGGCTTAAAGTTAAAACGAGCAAAATTAACTAGAAAAACAAGAGAACATTAGGAAAGCTAACTTTTTTCGCACGCTGGCAGGTTGGTGCGCGCACGCAGCGCTTTTGGTTTACGTGCTGCGCGATCATGCATTTGGATACCGGGCTTTGCTTGCGTGACGGTTGGCGCGGGCCTTTCCGGGCCGAGCGCGCTGGCTCAAGCGGCCACTAAGAACCATGACCGCCCGTGTTCGAGAGGCGCCAGGCCTGCCTGGCGCTGACAAGTTCTGTGAGTGCTCGGAAGCTTGTCTGCATGGCTCACCCCTTGCAGGCGGTGAAGCGCGCCAAAGGCGCCTGCGCCGCATCCAAGGCAGACGCCGTGAAGGCAGCCGTCGTGTCTGCCGGGAGGTCACGCAGTCGCCAAAAAAGGCGACCCGAGCGACACCGCTCAAGAAGCCGGCCAGCAAACAGCCGGCCAAAAAGCCGGCTACGAGCGCAAAGGCATCTAAGCGACGGCGACGGCCGAAAGGCCCAGACACGAAGAAGCGAGCGGCCAGGAGAGCCTACCACGCGGCTTTCAAGCAGGCTGCGCGGCAGGGGGAGATCCTGGAGGAGTGCTATCGCCAAGCCCGTGAAGCGCACCGCACTGAGGCGGCTCAGTGGGACATGGGCCGGCGCTAAAGGCACGGCGCCATCTGTCTTTTTTTGGTCTCAGTCTAGGCTTCGGGGCATGGAATCTAAGTGGCAGCGCGCACGGCTTTGCTGCATGCTCAGGCGTGATTCCACATCCCGTAGCCCAGACTCGGCCGAGAGCTACGAAACTCTTAGGGCGTGACTTGGAGAGAGCGGGAGAAGATCAAAGCCGTCGCAGAGAGCGCCATTGCAGACAAGCTGCTGAGAGTGCCGGTTCTGAGAGAGGAGCGCCCAGGCGGTCTACTTGCGGTCTACTTGTTAACTTGCTGAGGGCCGTGATGAGGGAGTTTGTTTCAGGCGCTACGTGCTGGCATATGTTGAAGCATTTGGCGAGAGTTTGTAGAGAGTTTCTGAGAGTGTCGCTGAGACTTTGTTGAGAGTTTCTGAGAGCGTGTGTAGAGAGTCGCTGAGAGTGCGTAGAGAGTTTCTGAGAGTGTCGCTGAGAGTTTGTAGAGAGTTTCTGAGAGTGTGTGTCGAGAGTCGCTGAGAGCGCATTGAGAGTTGCTGAGAGTCTAGAGAGTCGCGAGGATGTCGGGCGTTCGTAGATTGTAAAGAGTTGC